CACAAAATGGGCTTTTGCAGTTTTAACCTCTTAAAACTGGGCTTTACAGGTTGGGCCAAATTGGTTCTTCCAATTAAAAATTGATTTCAGACTTGAAAGTGGGAAATAACAGGACTGAATACAGTCCCTTTCGAACCCTAGATTCGATCCAAACAGTTTTGGTCCAATCTGGTCCGAAACGGTCCAAAAACAATTTTTAATTCAAGAAACAATTCAATGAAAGATCTGAAATTAAAATTCTAAGTTTTGACAATCAAAAATAGATCTAGATTGTTCGTACAACCTGCAAAACATAGGTTAGTAACTAGGGTTGCAATTTTCCAAACTGCAAAAACGCAGATAGCAAACTCTTCATCTGCGAATCTCCAGCGTCGTCGCCTTCTCAATCAAGAAAATAAAAGAAAAACAGAAATCCTATTTCTATTAAATAATTACATTCTTGATTGAATCCCATACATTCAGTCTAGAAAAATAAAAAAAAATTATTTTACAAACCAGAATGAATAGAAACTACAAATAATAGGTGCGTAGACATTCTGCGCTAAAATTGACCTTCGAACTCCATGTACGAACAATCCATTAAATCAGAAATAAAATAAGAACAATTCTAAATTAAATTTCAGATTTAACAAAAATTAATTTCAGATCAATCGCCCCTACAAGAAACAATTTCTTGAAACAAAAATTGCAAACTACGCAATACCCAGATAAAACAGCTTCTACCGAATTGCACAGGTTTAGATCTGATCTCTTGGTTCAAGATTCGACCTGTGGCTTTGATACCACTGAGAATGGTAGGATCCATCGTATGGACGCCAAAAAGGTTCAGGAATGGGTGGGTGAATTTCAAAAATTTCCTACCTTTCTTCCAACTGGGAATCGTATTCCCTGATTTTAGAATCAAAATTCAATGATCATACTTGAACCAAACCAGACCTGATCTTAGCCAAAGATTAAAGGAAAGGTTATACCTGATACGGAGAATGAAAATCTCCCAACGTCGGTGTTCATGCCCAAAGAGAGGTCCAAGATCTGCTCCTACTGAAGATGACACAGCAACGGTAGAGCAGAACCAGCAGTGTGCGTCCCATGCACCGAACTCTTCACAAGAATCCGTTGGAGACTATGAGCACCAAATCAAATCAGCCTTTCAGCAAAGGTGGCGGCGACTGGAAGAGGTCCCTAAGGCTGAAAGTGGCATGAATGCAGTTTTCAGCTTAGGGAAGATGAGATCCTATCTCAGATTATAGAGAGTGTTAACTACAAAACCCTAGGTCTAATTCTTCTAATTCTTGATTAGGGTTTCCTCCTTTCTTAGTGATTAAGAAACCTCCTAATCCTATTAGGAGTTATCCCAATCCAAATCTGTATTTGGATAGGGGATAATCTTAATCCTATTTGCAGATTAGATCAGCCCATTCCTGATCTCATCAGGAGGTTAATCTCAATCCTATCTGTAGATTCACCCCCTTAAGTGTTTGATCATATCAACCCAGTTTGAAATGGGCTTTTAGGCCCAATAAATAAATAGTGGTCAATAAGTTTCCAAACTACTACCCAGTTGGGCTTATTTGTATGGCGTGGGACCCAAGCATTGATCTCCACATCAGCCACATGGGTTCGGCCCAACCTTTGTTACAAGGCCAAGCCGAATTCACTAGAAAGCCAACACTTACACTAAGTGGTCCCTGGGCCAAGCCATCTTATAAAAACCCAGGGACTGTGGGCAGATGCAAGATTAGTCCATCAGGTATTATCCTAAATGGCCTTACACTTAACCTCTCAGCTCATAATGATCAAGCACTGCCCGACAAGAGAGGACCTCTCCCTCGGCTGCAATGAGCAGTGTTGCACTCTCTACTCACATGGATCCCGGGAATTAAAAGCATTTGCAAACATTTTGAAACCATACATAAATATGTATCATAGATATAAATTTTGCAAAACAAAATTCCAACGATTGAAATCAACTGTCGACAGTTTGGTTTCCATCAGAGAGAGTGCATCCCCGATCATTACCTTTGTCCAACAAAGAGGTTGATCCCGTCACTATGATCACCCACTCAGATGAATTTTCAAACTGTCCCAACATACCCAGGTTTTGACCCCCGCTAAGGATCTCACTGATTGGCATATCAAAGACAGCCCAATCCGACACCTAGTACAATACTATAATCGGGTCTAGGGGTCAGGTGTAACTTTCCAGTTTTGCCCATCAATCTCTAAGGTCCATATCAATACTGGAAATCTAGTCCGGTTTAAGGGTTCAAGTAATCCTACACTACGTATGCCTTGGGTCTCACCCTGGCGGCTGAGACAAGCCACCCCAACAGTTGGCAGCACACCAGTGTCAGCCTTGGTAGGATAAATCTCCCCAGATTTATCCAACGGTTGTGAACATTTAAAATTAACACAAGTCTCATTAAGTGTCCAGTTTTAGGGTTTTACACAAAAACATACCACACAACATGAATTAAACATGTACTTTATTTATTTACATTAAATATCAAAAGTACATCAAAACTGATTGGAGCTAAGGGCATACAAAACTTTCTAACAAAACTGGATGCTAAAATATAGCAATGACAAAATTCCGATGTGGTGAAAGGTGAATCAAAGCCGTCTCAATTCAAGTCAAGTTGAGGTTCTGGTCCTTGTTGGGTGTTGCATCTTGGGGTCGATTGGGCGTTTTGTTAATATAAAGTATATAAGTAGGCAGTATAATACAACTGTTCATGATTTGGCATATAATGCTAGTAAGTATAATATAGAAGTATGTAAAGAAAGCAGGTGTGATGATCCTTGTATCTTCCATTGTAATATATAATAATGCCCTTGGTTTTTTGCATAAAAAAACAGTGAGTATGGGTGTAAACGATATTCGAAAATCCAAGTTTGAATTTGAGATTCGACATATTCGAATCAAATTTGGATTATTTAAATATTATTAACGGCCAAATTCGAATAGAAGTCTATTCAATTCAATTATATTGTAAATATATAAATTCAATATATATATGTACATCGATGTTAGTGTTAGTGATGCAATTATATTTGTATAAATAAATATATCATAACGAATGATGACTTTTGACTACTTTTTTCTTTTATATATTATCAAACCCACCTGGCAACTTTAATTGGTTGAATAGCATTTGGAATTTGAAATGCCCTCCAAAGATTAAATTATTGCTATTTTGTCTGTTTAATAATAGACTGCCTACTAAAATCCATTTGAGGAAAAGAGGATTTAATATTGATAGCTCTTGTAGTTTTTGTGGGTTGAGGAAGATACAGAACATATTTTTAAAATTTATGATCACACAAAGCAAGTTTGGCTTACTTTAAACACACCCTTGGAGGGCCCAAATGAAAATGAAAATCTAAGTGATTGGTGGACAAGAATGTGCATTAAAAAAAGAAAGCAAAGCTCTATTTGTAAAGGAAAAACTAGTTTTTGTTTTATGGGTGGTCTAGAAAAATAGGAACTCCCAAATCTTTAATGATGGTATTACTCCCATTTCAATAATGTTAGATAGAGCTCTCAATATGTTTATGGAAGTTTTTGATGGGAATAAATTTAGTACCTCTACCACATCTCGCAAGTTTTGGAAACAAATTAGTTGGATTGCTCCAAAATATAGTTATATTAAAATAAATTTTGATGCCTTTCGCAAGAGTGATGGAAAATGTTTAGTGGGCTATATAGTCTGGAACCATCTTGGTAAGGTACTAGTGGTCAAAGCATATAAATTTGGTACTATTTTATCAACTAGGCTAAAGCTTGGGCTGCATGGGAAGCCCATGTCCAAGTTACAAACTACAGGGCATTTCCTATCATCATAGAGGGAGATTCGTCTCTTGTCATCTCCTGCCTCAAAAGAAAGATGGATATTCCTTGAAAGTTGAAAGGTACTATCTCAAGCTGTTTGAGGAGGAGAGATCTGTTCGAAGGAAGTTTTCATTATCAACATATTTTTTGGCTAGCTCAAGAGGCTCTTTCTTCTTCTTCTTCTCTAGATTTTAGCATTTCATCTCTTCCCTCTTCTCTTTTTCTTATTTCTCTTTTCAAAAAAAAAAATAATAAATAACTAAATAAAAGATTGAATGAAGACAACTTTTATGATGATTAATTTTTAAATAATATTTTAATATTTTTTATCAAAATGTGCAGGTTTCATTAATTAGATTGTAACTTTATTGATTTAAACAACTTCAACTTTACTTTCTTTCTTCTTCTTCGTTCATCGTCTCAGCATTTCTCTTCGCATCGTCTCAACATTTCTCTCCGACAAGTCCTCCAAAACTTTAATCGGTAGCATCCATTTTTCCATTCTTTATTTTTTACTTTTATTTTGTGAATTTAAGTTTATTTGAATTTTCATTTTTCAATCGCTTTCTTTTTTTTATCTCTATCCCTCTTTCTTGTGCATATTGTAGAAGGCAATCAGCGATTTCTCTGTTGTAGATTACGTCACCAGCGACAGTTGTTGTAGGGCATGTCAATGTAGCAACACTAAATAGATGGTTATGGTTCATTTTTTTTTTTTTTTTAATTTGTTGTTCGTTGTTTCTTGGAAGTTGGATAGATAGAGAATGAGAATAATCTTCGAATTAAGTTTCTTCTTCTTCCTCCTCTGAGGTGAAGTTGGAGAAACTTTTTTTCGAATTCAAATCAAAATCAAATATTCGATTATCCCAACTAATTCAAATATGGTGTATTATTTCAAAAAACCGTTAGATATAAAATCAAATTCGAATATCTTTATATTTAATCGATTTCAAATTCGAATCAAGGCCGATTCGATTCGAATTCGCTTCGTTTACATCCGTAAGTGTGAGTGGAGGTATACTTGAGTTGGGCCGTTGGGGTAGTAGACTGTAGACCATGGACGTGCCACACCGTAAAGGGCTCAGTAGTTTTTGGGTTTTTCTACTTTCTGCTGGTTATAAGCCCATCCATATGTAATATTTTTCTCCACATGTTTGTCCCTTTCTTACGAAAAAATTCCTTCCCTAGCCCCCGTTCACCGTTACAACTTACAACTTACAATGGTGAGTACGACTGGGCCGCAAATCCAATTCCTATACCACTCCGACGTTGGTTCTGCACTTCTGCTGGACGGGGAGAGGGAGTAAGTGAGCGAGCGCGACTTGGGTACTTGGATATGGGATTGGGGGCATTGAGAAATGCTATTCGTCCTTTGGCGAGAACAGTCCTTGCTCGGCGAATGTTACATTTTCCGGCGATTTCCGGTACACCTGCTGCTCCGACAACCAAGTTTCGGTGGGTTTTTGGATCACCTCAGCAGCTGGCGCCATGGGTTTTGGTGCCGAGTGGTTTCCATAGCTTGACAGATACTCGATTCCCGAAGAGAAGGCCCAGTGACAAACCTCGAAGGAAAAGGGCCAGCTTAAGACCACCAGGTTTATCTGTCTCAACGCATACACTTTGAATTAAACCAATTGAGAAAATGGACTCAATAGAGAGCATGAACCAGGAATGGATTAGCTCTAGTATTTAAGTACCTAAGTTTGATTTGTTTCATGGAGTTTGAGTTTTCATTATTTCTTCTGGTAGACATTTGTTTGTATCGAAATGCCAAAGTTTAGGTTAGGTCTGTATCCAGTCCACCCCTCCCAAGGCCCCAGTAGCTGGGACCAGACCAACATTGGGTAATGGCCTTTTTTCCGATATATTTTGTGTTCTTATTCGATACTACAAAGTTCTCAATTTTGTTAATCCTGATTTATTTAGTAATGCAGGCCCATATGCCTGGGTTCAGTACACACCTGGTGAGCCGATACCTGTAAGCAGACCCAACGAAGGAAGCGTGAAGGGAAGGAATCAGAAAAAACGCATGAGGCTGAGGAGGGCGTTTATACTGGTCTGTGTTTCTGTTTCTCAAACGCCTACTAGCTTCTAATCTGATGAGTAGAAATTGATTTTTTCTTTGGTTGGTTTTAAGTTCTTCTATTTATGGATTCCACTTCCAAGCTGAAATTTATTCACATTATCTTACTCATGATTACATGATTTGGTTTGAAATTGACTTCGTTACTTCATTTAACTTCCACCATTTGTTTCCGTATTCATCCACACTAACAAAGTCTCAATGTGCAAACCTTAATGTACACCAAGCCTTGATTAACATTGACTTATTTGCATATGTTGCCTTTGAGTCTTTATGCTTATTAGTTCAGGAAATCCAATGTTTTTAGATGGCTATGTGCAGGTGTATGATCCATTATTCTTGATTGGGTGTTGTTACTTGTAAATTTTGAGAAGGTGCAAGGAAATGAACTTGAGAGAGATACATATAGACATTCTCATGGATAATCATGTATAAAAACTTGTCTATGCATCCAGGAGTATATCTTCTTGTAGGATGTTGTGCCTACACCTTAAAATGTTTTTGTATAGCTTCTTTCCTTTTCATGGGTAAATTTTTTTCAGTTATTCATAGAAAAGGGAGTTTCATCATCAATGTCATCTGTGCACATCAAAATATATCATGCAAACACTTGGGAAGGGGAGACTGGGCTTATTGTATCTGAAGTAGTGCTGCATGGACATGGACATGGGAGTTGGAATCTAATGCATGTCCAAGAGTGTGACTCAGGAAGATGAGAGAACATGGTCTCAGAATATATGTGGAAAAGTATACTATTAAGACAGTTCACATTTTTTGAATTCTAGCATTATATACCAGAAAAAAAGGATCTAAAATGTTGCTTTTCTTACCAAGTAACATTTGATATGAAAATGGCATTCATGTTGTACATTAACTGTTCATTTATGTCAATTTAATTAGGAGATAAAAAGGAAATGTTACGTAGAAGTGTCCTTAAGAATATATTTAGGAATTAGGAGAGTCCATGCAAAACTGATTTGAAGATACTCAGCTCAGCTGTAACCCCAACTATTTGGGTTCGCTACACAAATCCTGTCTAGCCATTCTGTTTTCTTTGGAGAACTGTAATGTAAAATATTTCATTAAATAAAAAAAGCCAACCAAGAACCCCTGTTCAATGAGAAACCTGATCAGAGGATATACAATTCTGCTCCCTACAGCCCAACAATGCCCAAAACAATTAACTTTTCCTTACAAAAAGAAATTCCAATCAAAGAAAGAACTAGGATGTCTATTTCTAAACAAAGGGTGAGCTGCCAACCAAGAATGAACCATCCTCAGAATTTTATGTAAGATTACTTCATTTGAAGCCTGAATCCCTTCAAACAATCTCCTGTTTCTTTCACTCCACCCAGCCCATAAAACTGCTGAAGGAATTATGCTCCATGCTACCTTTCCTGCTCTACTTAGACCTTCTAGATGCCATGCCTCAATGATACCCTTCACTTCAGCTGCGAAACACCATTTTACTTTAAACAAACCTACCAGCCTTAACCAGATCCAATGAGTATAATCCTGTCTAGCCATTCTGCTCTATCAAGGGCAATGTTTTCTGTCAGACTGCAAGTCCTTAGTTCATTCTTACCACTTCCATCCATGCCTTCTTTGGCTTCTCTCTTGTTCTTTTACACTTTCTACTTGCACCAAATCATTCTGCATTTGTTAGGAACCTGCCTAATTCAGGGCTCTTCGAGGGATCAACCTCCTGAATTCTTGGGAAGGAGAGAGAGAGAGAGAGAGAGAGAGAGTTTAATGCTGAAAGAGTCCTCCTCTATTCCTTTTCTGCTCCACTACTTATAGTGTTACAATCTTGACTGTTACAGTTGTTACAAGTGGATGGCAGTTATTACAAGTGGCTGGTTAGTTGAGCTGATGTGGCCTCCTCTTGTAAAACTGACTAACTGCCTTCTGTTGGTCTGTTCCAATAGTCTTGACAATCCAATTGGATGGCAGTTGTTACAAGTGGATGGCAGTTATTACAAGTGGCTGGTTAGTTGAGCTGATGTGGCCTCCTCTTGTAAAATTGACTAACTGCCTTCTGTTGGTCTGTTCCAACAGTCTTGACAATCCCCCCTTCCTTTAGAGTGACCTTGCCCTCAAGGTCTAATGTAGGAAATTTGATTGCAGATCTAGTAGGAAAATTTTAGTCCATGTGCATGAATATGGGCTGATCTGGGTCTCCTCTTTGCTTTGTTAGTGTTGCAAGGCTGATGGGCCTTGGGCCCTTGCATGTCTGCCCTTGTAGATGGACTGTAGAGTTTCCTGATGTGAAGTCCATGGTGAGATGGGCCCAGTCACAGACCACGGGTCCTAGCTGCCTTAACCATTGAATGCCTAACACCACGTCTGCTCCACTGAGATGGAGAGGATATAGGTCCACCGCAAACTGATGACCCTGAATCTTTAGTGGTAGGCCCATGCAAATGCTATTGAAAGAGAGGTTGTTACCGTTGGCCACATGAATCGTAAAGGTCGTTGTTGGTTGCATCGGAAGTCCCATTTTATTCACCAAGACTTGAGTTATGAAGTTAAGGGAGCTGCCACTGTCTATGAGGATTGACACTTGGCGTCCTAGAATCAKCCCWGCAACTCTCATTGTTTGAGGGGACGCAAGTCCCGTAAGGGCTTGTAAGGATATTTCAGGCGTGCCATTGGACTGTATTTCCCATCCTGGGTTAGATTCTCCACACCCAGGGATGTCGTCTTCCTCTTCGRCATCTGTTTGGAGGAGAAACGCTTGTTGTTTCTTGCAGCGATGGCCCGACCCAAATTTCTCTTCATAGTTGTAACAGAGACCTTTGTCTCTGCAGGCTTGCATCTCTGCCCAAGTCAGCCGTTTGAAAGGAACCAGTGGGCCTGGGCCTAGTATTCCTTCCTCCTTGTCTGGTGCTGTTGTCTTTTCTTGCTCCCTTCTTGCTTCTGGATCCCATTGTCGCTGCACCTTTCTTGCTTGACTGAACTTGTCCTCATACAATCTTGCTAGTGCTGCCGCATTGATGACCGAAGTGGGTTGCATCGCTTTCACTTCCAGTCGCAGTTCTTCTTTTAGGCCGCCGACGAAGCTTCCCACCAATGCCTTCTCTGTCCACCCTTGGACTCTCACGGCTAGCCTTTCGAACTCCACTTGGCATTCTTTTACTGATCCCACTTGCCGTAGCTTTGCCAAATTTTCATCAAGATCTTCGAACCCAGATGATCCAAAACGGACAGTCATGGCATCCGTGAAGTCTGCCCAGGTTTGACGAGGGTGCCCCC